AAAATGATTATCAGCACACTTGAGATTTGAGAACGCTTTTTTACCACTTGAACTTTTTTGCCAACACTTAATTATAGTCGTTTTAATATCTAAGAACAGAAAGGAGAAATGTAATAATTATCAACACATGTTTTACCACTCGCTCTGAAATTAAATGAATGCTTAAACATATCAAAGTGTAGGATGATCACACAATAAAACATGGAAAATAAAAGCTTATGGATGTTGGGAGAGTTTCGCTTACACACCAAAGAAACTATGTGGAGAAAATCAAAATGAAGAATGTCAATACCACCTATGAAGTAGAAATAACATGAAAATGATATCATCCATTGATAAAAATTCATCAATAAAAATCAACTTCTTTCGTCCATCACCATTGTAGAGCGAGCCTTAACATTTGAAAAATAGAGGTACTAAACTGCGCATGTTGCTTCTACAGGAACGGGGGCAGTATCACCCATCGACGGGGATATCTTGGCTTTCCATCCTTCCCATCAAATAGCTGGACGAGAAATTGTAACACACACAAATCAGAACTAAATGATAAAAGATTTAGAAAGTAAAATCCAGTTTCCAAATTTAAGATGTCTTCTGATGCAAATGTGGCTAATGAGATGACAAATGAGCTCACATACATGCTTCTTTTCCAAAGTTAGGCAGATAATATGATGGGAAACAGAGTAATAGAGATTAATTTCGAGAATTCATGACCGAAGGAGGTAAAGTTAGAGCACGGATGAAATAAAAAACATAAACACACAGAGAAACATATTAAGGCTATGTTTGGTACGAAATAAGAGCATCCACAATGCTTTGGGTTCAATCCCAAAAAATTACATGCCACATAATAAAAGTAGACTGATTTTACATAGTTTTATCCATGTCATCTAAGACTTCAGTTTATTTACTTGCCACATAGGCAAGACTAGACCCAATGCATTGAAGATGCTCTAAGCTAGCTTATAGCTTATTTGGTTAGCTTATAAGATTCATGTACTTAAATAAGCTTCGTTTAGCAGGACGAGCTTTCTTAAAAAGCTCGAGCTTATCACATAAGCTTCTTTGGATAACTTTTTAAATAAGTCCGTTGAATTATTTATATCAACTAGCTTATCAGCTAATTTTACCAAACACTTTTATCATATAAGCTAGTTTTTTCAGATATAAGCTAGTTTTTTCAGTTGTAAGTCATAAGCTATAAGCTATAAACTCGAAAATCACTTTATCAACTAGTTTTACCAAACATAGCCTAACATTAGGCGCATGATATGGTAGAACACCTTCGAACAAATTTTAAAAAGATACAGTTGTTCTCAAACTAACACAAACTAACAGAGAAAAAAAAAAGTTACCTTCTTCAGACGACGGTGCTTGGCAAGGGCCCAGTTTGTCATTATGCCAGCAGCCACTACCATGAATATGTAACCTGCTACGGTCTGTGTAGCAATGTTAAACCCTAGCCACTGATAGATCTCGGTCGTGTAGTTTGCACACGTAACAATGTTGAACAGAAATCCACGTGGGATTTGGTAGCCACTGCCATCAGTTCTTCGTAGACCTCTCAACAATATATGGCAATAAAAGTTCGACACTTGGCAGAGTAAACCGAACGTGAACCCAACCTTCATCTGGAGACCACTTACAGGCGTGTAAAGTGGATGATTGACATAATAAGCAATCCAAGCACCAAAAGTCCAGTAATAAGCACAGTTCCGAAAAACATTTGAAAGAGGAGATGTAGCATGGCTGAACCGGTGCACAAAGAAAGTTTCCATAATACGTTTGAAGTAGTGTAGGCACCAGTAGTAAAGGGCATATGTCTGAACTGGTTGGATGACACGTTCGCCCTTATAGCCAAAAAGTGAGTACACTGGGAAGAAGTAAAAAACTGGATAGAGTATGAGAGGACCCAAGTATTCCCAAAAGAAAAGAGTGCTATAATTGACTTGTGGACCGAGGTCCTTGAAAACCACAGTTAACTCCTTGTTGCTATCGGCATATTCTTTCAGACTCTTTTTTGAGGTAAAAATTATAGGTCTCTCCTTCGACCCAGATGGAAGAGGGAGAGTTAACCGCTGTCTAGATGGATAGTATTTTCTGGCTGCAGGCAGAGAACATAGAATATTTTGTTACCAGTATCACAGGTAAAAGGATTTTTCTATAACAAAAGTGGAGAAACAAATAAAAAAGAAACTCGTGAACCAAGATTATTATGAAGGGTGAAATGCAACAACTAATCGATATCCACAGATATTGATACTCTGAACACAAGCACTATTCCTGACATAGGTCTTATACGGCATGGAAAAACATAATCGTATTTGTTCTACATTACATGTTATCCAATTTGCTATATTATATTATACCCAATGTAGAATCAATACAAAGATATCAATAGCTTGTCTTTATTTATGTTTTATTTTGAAAGGAAGTGAATGAATATATTTTGACGAGGGAAATTGTCACAGGTGTATTACACTGTTATTTGTGGTCCATACCAAGTAGGTAGACCTGAATTAACAACTTCTACAAGGACTCGTTTGGATCCATTTTTCAATTGTTATAGGTTTAGAGGAATAAGACAAATGCATTAGTCTTGTGTTTTATGACTCCTGATACCCACAACCAATAAAAGTTCTCCTGGTACGTGTGAATGTGAAAACTTAGGAAGTGTTCCACATATTACTCCTGAGATTCATGTTAGCTTTCATATTATCGGACATAGAAGAGTGAGATGCCTAGCCCAAAATTAATTGAGCAACGCTACATGTAAATAATATTGTTTAGATAACGATGTGCATACTTTCCACGTCGTGGGATTCATCATTTTCCATGTTAGACACAATCTAACACCACCTAAACAAAATAAAGGGAAAATTTACCATTTATTCATGCCGGAGCACATCAATCTATTATTTATCTAATAAAAAAGCTTCAGAGACGAAACCTTTTAACATTAAATCGAATAAGGGCTTACGACACATGGTCTGGAATCCTAAGAGTTACTCAAGTCATCAGCAATAACCAATAATAAAAGAATATAAGAATTTTACTTTGGAGGGGGAGGGTTTTACACAGTTGAAAATTTTCTAGAAAAACTAATAATTATCCTGAAGGAAAAGTCAAGTCACAAAAGAAATTTTGGAGGCAAATATCATCTTTATGGGAGGTATTATCATAATGTAGGAACACATTCTCCAAATGATTTCTTTCATTGCTCATCATAAACATAATTTATGGATCAATAATGAACCTTTTCAAATATAAATACATTTGCCACGCGTGTTCAAATTCAGACCATTTGTTTTGACTGTCACTTACATAAATGTTCAGGAACCACTAAAACATCGAATACTTTGCACCATACACAACTCAAATCCAGAGCTTCAGAAGCAGCTATTTTTATATCTTGATAATGTACTTGTCCATCAGTATACATTCAAGACCAGAAATACCTATTCATTTGAATCACAACACGGAGACTATGTTTCCACAAACACACAAGGGAAGAGGAACAACAGAGACAATGTATAACTTACTCCGTTTGTGAATGGCCTCCTGCAGATCAGCGACAGTAGCCTGCAAATAAACAACAAAGTACAAACACAAACGTCAGTCACATCTTGACAAATTTTACAGGATCGAAGAGTTAATTAAACCAATTAAACGACAAAGAAAAAGACTTAGCAAGCAAATAACCCAATACAATTATCTTCAATCCAAATCTAGATATACAAAAGAGAGCCATTTGAGGAAAACAAAAAGAATATACCGAATCGCTAAGTTCAAGGCCTCCCTTGATGAGTTCTCTGCCGCTACGTGTTGTGACAGTCACCTTCATCTTTCTCGCCTCAGGATTTGACATTCAAGCTTCAAAGCCAGATGGGTTTTTCTGAAATGGTGTATGACAGAGGCATATGAAGAGGGAAATGAATATAGGACGGAATTTATTTGCAATTAATAGGAGTTAGATTGTCGTTGAGGCGTTGAGCGAACTATTTTGCACCGATTAACTACCTCTGATCTTTTAAATTTGAGAAATGCTAGTTATATAATATTTTAGCGTACATAATACTCACATTGATTAGGAGATCAAAAATAAAAAATTAAGTGGACCCATCTATAACATTTCTCTTTAAATCTTATATATTTGAGCACTTTTCAAACCCTACTCCCTACCCATTTATAAATATATTAAAAATTCAGAAAAATTTTGTTTTAATTTTTATAATATTAAATTAATCATCTTTTAATAATCTTTAATATAATTTTTTTATATAAAATAAAAATTATATATCAATCGTAATTGAAAATTAGTAAAACTATTATTTGTCAATTAAAAATAAGTTGATCTATGATCCCCTCTATCTATTTATAATTTCAGAATGCGCTCAATGGCAAACTTTCATGCTTCGGAATCTTATTTGGCTAAAAATTATGCTTTGGAGTTAGTATTGAATATAAATTAATATTTGTATTAATTGTATTTTAATATTATTTCCTATTATAACCATTGAATTGCAAATATAGTTTAAAAGTTGATAATTTTTGTATTTCTTATCGGTTTTACATATATAATATATCAAATTAATCATCTTTTGATGAGCTTCGACTTGACATCCATATTGCATATATAAAATAAATAAATTATATTTATTTTTATAATAATAATAAAATTATTTATTAAAATTAATTAAAAAATAAAATTATTTATCAATTAATATATTAATGTCTTATTAGTTATATGTTATAAGGTAGAAAATTTATTATAATATAACACATATAAATCGCACAAGTAACATATGTCATAATTAAATTTATAATAATATATACTCCCTCATATTTTTATTATTTGTCACTTTAGCTTAATTGATCATTGATAAAGTAAATGTCGTTTTAGATATTTTGTTCATATTTTTTAATTTTTAAATCTCCATCTAATACACAGTGTCTCTTCATTTTTCATCTCCATCGTTTCAACATCCATTAAATAGGGTTAATATTGTTAAGAAAAAAAATTCTTAATTAGTGTGTTGCATTTGAATTGATATTATGAAGTCCGTTTGTATTTTACTATTTATTTATATTTATATATATAATACAAAATAGTAATATATATCCTTATAAATAAAATTTAAAATTATTTATCAAACTAAATCAAATTATATCAAATAAAATTATAAATTATATTATAAAATAATAGAAATTGGTATGTATTCTTTTAAAAATAATATTTATTTCAAATCTAATTGGTATGTTGTCAATGTAATAAAAATAAATAATTATTTATATAAATTCTAAAATTACATATAAAGTTAAAAAACTGTAAAGCACGACTAACACTTGATGTATTAGACATCTAATTAAGTAAAAAAATTAATCTATTTTTAATATTAAATAAACATATTCTACACTTATGCATATACATATCACCATATTATTTCTATTTGTTTAAGATATATATTTTTGTACTTATGTGATAGTAAATTATATCGATATTTTTATATAATATAAGTAAAAAAATTCAACACGAGTTGACATTTTCATTTAATGTACGAGTGTTTAATTATTAGGATTAAAAAAATATAATTTGACAATTTAATGAAAACTCAAAGTAATGTTTTATATAAATTAAATTGTTTTAGTTCTTAAAAAAATAAAAAAATAAAATTAATATTTTTTACAAAAGCTTTCTAATTCAACACCCGTATAATACACGGGTATTGTACTAGTAGTCTATTAATTGATATGAGTTAGAAGTATTATTATACTGTAGGACGAGCGAGTCTTATGAGTGACAAATGTTATTTGAAATCAGAATAATAATGCAATTTTTTAAAGTATATGAAATTTAAATAAAACATCTATTTTTTCTATAAAAAAAAATCATAAGTGTAATATTTTTAATTATCACCTGTATAATATGTGTATTGTACTATGAATACTCTTTTTTAGAAATTAACTAAATATATTTAGAAAGATAAAAAACAAAAAAAAAAGAAATTTGGGTCGATCGAGGCGACTAGCCCGTGTCAATTGGTTCAGAGATGACTCGACTAGGTTGGTGCCAGGTCCCCAGTTACCGAAACATACAAATTGGTCTCGGGGTCAACTAGGTCTTAGGTCGAATCTCGGACCAATCCAGATTGAAAGACATTAAACAAAGTAACAAACTATGTGTCTTGCAAAAGTAAAAAAAAAAAATATCCTTTTATTATCATAATCTAAGAGAAAAATGTTTGTCGTTGTTTATCGTCAAAATATGCACTTTTTGATTTGGTGTGTTGAATTGTGATGGAGGTGTTTTTGTCGTTAGTTTTTAACGAATAAAATACCCTTAAAAGCTTTGGAAAATGAAATGGGGACAAAAAAGGATGAATATCAGGTGAAACGTGCTCCACATGACTCATGTGAGAGTGGAACAATGCCCCATGAATCATATGGAGTGAGACAAAAATACCCTAGAGTCTCTGTAATTTTCACACAACTCGTGTAATGTGTGACTTAGATCATGCGAGTTGTGTGACGTCTAAAGTCCAAAGATAAATTTGAGCTCAATGTATCACATGAGCCATGTGGTAGGGTACATTTGTCGTACCTCTGACCATCTCTGACAGGTAGACCAAAAACTTGTCTTCATGTTTACCCTCCGACCTCTCATTCTTGGGTGAGCTCGCCCTATCCTTCTTGAGTTTTAGTCGAGTCAACCTCTCTAATTTAGCAAATTTGGCCTCAGTTTTCTTCATATTGACATATTACACATCTTTAAGACGTCATCATATGTCATTATTACTGGTGTCTTATTGATTGGGTAAAGAGGCTTGCACTTTTTTAATTTAAAAGGAAGGATCCCGCCTATGCCTATGCCTATGGATATTGAAAACCGTGAATGGCATTTGTGGATTTTCGAATTAAGAGAGATAAAAAATTGACACATTTTATCAGATTCGTGGAATCAATTCAATTTATTAAGGTGTTTCATTCACATTGTTTTCGACTAATATATTTTTTAAAATTCTTTGATCCCCTAGTTGTGAGAATTTTTGTTAAAACTGGGTGTGATAAACAGTCAATTACATCGAGCCTGATTACGGGTACAGAAAATCCCTACTGAGCAACAAAGTATGTAAGGACGGGTCCCATTGTTCATGGGAAATTAGTTTTCTTTCTTGCTTCAGTTGCTGTGTAGAGTACGAACGATTGGTCTTAACACATTTTCCCCTAAGATAATGGCAGGATAGACAAAACGAACTTGATCGACCAATCCCCATCTTTGGTTTCATTGATCATTCATAGTATGACACTGACTCAACTGAGATGGTGTGATCCAGGAGAACTATCCTCTCAAAGCACCTCTCGCATTAATGGAGGATCGATGTAATTGATAAGACTAGCAACTCTTTTATCACTTAGCGGTGCTGGTGAGAGAACTGGGAAAGGACGAGTAGTTTTGACACGCTCGACATAGTCTGCTGTAACTAACGTCCAAGTGTCTATATTAATTGATTGATCTGTAAACTTGTAGCTAATGTCCAGACTATCTCTGAATCGAGGAAAGGTAGACTGAGGGGTTCGTCTTTCTTGTCACGGGAAAGTGTAGATTGGGGAGCCTCCAAACGACCCTTCTATGACACATGGATCAAGGCCATGGATCACTCTTACTATAGAGAAATCCATTAATTGAACTTCTCGGACTAAAACCTGTCTTACACCATGCTCTCGCTTAGCAACTTCTTGTAAGAAATCTTAATTTAAGTAAGGCAGATTCTACATTAATTTACTAGGTTGCTACGAAAATCACTTCATCTAACATCACTTATTGTTGATTTTAATCGAACATCGCCTTGCTCTAAATCTAAGCTCTCTACCTTTCTTCAAGACTCACCCCTTCTAGGGCCAAAAGATCTAGCGCAAGGGTCAAGTGCAGAACACTCTTTGGGCCTTCCTTATTATATAAAATAATATATTTTTAAAAATGTTAATAAATTAAATACTAGTTCAACCAATTCAACTATTCGTCAAATCGGTGAATCATTGAACCAGTTTTGATGACAAGTCTGATTTTGAGAACCACCTCCATCACACATAATCTGGAAAAAAAAAAATGGTATAAATACCAAGTCTCTTTCATCTCTACTCTTCAACCTCCTTACCACCGCCGCTCGAGTTGGCTGCCTCTGGCCACCGCTTAGGATTATCAAATTCCGGCGAACTCGAGACCCTGAGCTCGCAAAAATCCGTCTAAACCCCACGAACTTAGCATTCATCCTCAGCTTCAGTTCGTCACTCGTGAGGTTAAGGTATAATTGTTGTTTGGTAGATTAAGTATTGATTACTGAAACCAGAATTGCCCTTTGAGTAGAGCTGTCAATTTGGCCCGCAGCCTGCGGGCCGACTCGGCTCGCCCAACAAAAAGGCCGAGTTGGGCCGGGATTTTTTAGGCCCGCTAGGGAGAGGGCCTAAATGGACCAGTCTGCGGGCCGCTGGGCGGAGAGGGCTGGCCCGCTTATTTAAAATATATATATNATGAGAATTAGATAAAGTAAAAATTTATTTAATATATATTGAATGGCCCCAAAGTGGATCTAAAATATAAGTTTCGGGGGTACTAGAACAGTTAATGAACCGAATTGTGTTCGTATAAGTCATGAAAACTCAATTTCAACTTGCTAATATATTTAAACGAGCCAAGTTATAACAATTATTCGAGCTTATTTTTTTAATGAGTTGAGTCAGATTGGGCTTATTAGATGGGCCGACTTCGATTGCACATTTTTCTTCGTTTATTAAATGGTCTAGCCGAGTTGACTCATTTATTAAATGAGCACAACCTTGAATATGAGGTATTTGACTTGACTTGGGTCGAATGTTATCTCTAGAGAACTATATAATCTTTAATCTGTTTCTCTTATTTATTTTAATGTATTTTTTATAGTTTAAAAAAATATGCAGATTAAGTATAAACATAAATGAATATAAACAAAATCTTACAGACTTATATCTCAACTTAACCAGATATACAAAAGATTGAATGTTATTATGATATTAAAAATAAAATATATACGTAAATATATTTGAAAATAATAAATTATTAATAATAATTTATAAAATATGTGTCATTATAAATAGTAAATATTCTATTTGTTATTTTTTATACAATTATTTTTATAAATTCATCATAAGAATATTGATAATTTTATGTACTAATCTTTTATTATAAAAATATTTTTTCAAGCACTCGTGTAGTATACGTGTCTCATACTAATATATATTATAAAAAATTGTAGAAAGAGTACTTAAAAAATATATAGTTGAAACTAATTAATTATCAAAAGAATGCAATACTTTATAATAATTTTTGAGATAAATATAACTTATAAGTTGAATATATATTTTAAAAAAAAAAAAAGTTTGGGGGACAATGCCCCTGCCCAACTAAAAGTCCGCCACTGAAATCTGAATGGCCCGCTAATTAATTAATATATATTGGAAACAAAACCTAGCCTCTATCTGCTCTGCAACGTTTCCCCTCTGAGGAAGGAGCTACGCCGGCTCTGCCTCTCATCTCCATTCTCGGCGACCTCCTTCTCTGATTTACGACCTCTGCCCGGCGCCCACGCTTCCGCTTCCGGCCTCCGTCTCCGGCGCCCACGTCTCCGTCTCCGCTCGACGACCTCATTCCTCACTATTTGGCTTCGCCTTGGCTTCAATTTGGCTTCGATTTGACTGAATGTGTGAGTTCTTTTGGCCTGTGAGTTTGTAAGGTATTGTGAATTTTGAGTTTAATAATCTCATTATTGTCTGTAACTTTGGCCTGCTTAGTGCTAATTGCTGTGACTTTGAAGTCTTGAAGGACTTGTATAGTGTTTGTAAATTTGTCCATTCAAATCAAAACTTTGGCCCTGGTCTCTTCGTTACTCTTTGGTGCTATTTTTTTTTTCTTTTATATGGCGGGCCTGGCCCGCCAAACCCGCGGCCCGAGGCGGGGGCGGGTTGGGCCTGATCTTTTCAGGCCCGCCCACCTGCCCGTTTTGACAGCTCTACCCCTGAGTTTGTGACCTTAATTAAAATTAATGTGGCCTTTTTGAATTTTTTCTACCTTTTCATATTTTTCAGACCTGCCTAACCCGCCAACAGCGCCCCATTGGGCATGTTTTGATGGCTCTAGATACAATAGTGCATTGGCTCTTAAACTAATTAAACCAGTACTCTTAACAGAGGCTACCTTACCAGCCGCCTTACTATTTGCAGGTTAACAATGGAAGCTGAAGCGGTACTTGCCTCATCTCCGACAGACAATGGTGTAAGCTGCTGGGACCTCCACACTGGTGCTGAGATCCTCCGCCACAAGTCGTGCGCCAGTCCTCCTCACGGCCTCGTCTCTGTCGCCGGCCGTTTCTTAGCCTCTTCCCAGCTCCGAGATGGCAAGTCTTCTTCTGGATCAATTTTCTATTGGTCGTGGAACAAGGTAACTATTTATTTGAAATTAAATTTACCCCACAATAATTATTGTAATGTTTATTTAGGTTTTTGGATGATTGGTTGTGAAAGTTGCTTTCTGTTTGGGAAAGATAAAGCAACACTCAGTTGAGTTTGTTGTACATTTTTGTAGCCTCAGATTGAAGTGAGGAGCTTTCCAGCAGAACCGATAAAGCCTCTTGTTTCCAACAGTCAGGGAACTTATATTGCTGGAGGAGGTGTTTCAGGGGATGTATACTTTTGGGAGGTAGATTATTTAATTTAAATACATCTCTCATTTTCTTAGTCCTTACATGTTTCTCATGATTGTTGTCATTCACTTTACTGTGTGATTGCAGGTTGCAACTGGGAAATTGCTAAAAAAGTGGCATGCACATTACAGAGCTGTTAGCTGCTTGGTATTTAATGATGATCAGTCACTTTTGATATCAGGGTCGGAGGATGGATGTGTTCGTGTTTGGTCACTTTTCCTGTATGATTCCTACTGTATTTACTTATGAAGGAGAATGGTAAATGAGTTCTTAATTAAATATTTTATGACACTTTAGGATATTTGATGACATGAGGAGGAAGGATGCTAGGCATCTGTTCGAGTACAGTTTCCATGAGCATTCTTTGAGAGTGACTGATGTTAAAACTGGTTATGGCGGTTCTAATGCAATCATTGTGTCTGCTTCTGAGGATCGTACATGCAAGGTTCGTCTTATAATGGTTAATACAATTCGTTAGTAATTATATCGTTATTGGTATACATTGTTGCTTGGTTAACCGAGAAAGCCATGTTTTTGAAAAAAAAGACTTGACTTTTTGTTTCTGCTTCTAGTCCATTTTGCTTACACTCCAACTATTATTCACTTTTGATGAGTCTGTTTTGAACAGGCCATCATATTACTTGTCGTATTCCTAAGTCTCCTGATGGTTAATCATCTTTTGGAATAATAAGTCATTATGAATATTTCATTTTATTTTCAATAACTCCCTCTTATCCAGGTTTGGAGTTTATCTAGGGGGAAACTGCTGAGAAATATTGTCTTCCCTTCAATAATAGATGCTATTTCACTGGACCCCGGAGAGCATGTCTTTTATGCGGGTAGTAGGGATGGTAAGATATACATCGCCGCATTAAATGCTCCAATGACATCCAACAGCAACTTTGGATCCCATATACTTGGGTCACTATCTGAGCACAGGTTACCAAATAAAATTCACGATTTTTCCTTTTGAACTTTAAAGATTTCCTGATGATTCTTGGCTTGCTTTAGTGAAGGGATTTTCTGTTTACTCGTAGTGTCATAGTTTGCTCTTATCTGATATCGCGTTCAGGCTAAAAATTCAATTTCAGGGATGTCTGATATGTTGTTAGTTGTCACGTGGCATTCTTTTTAAACATTTTCCATTACTGCAGCTGAGAATGGTACTACTAAGTTGTTTTAGAAACATTTATTTGTTTCAATTAATTATTTCTTGTTAGTACATTTGTTGTGCTTCAAATCATCCATACATGATTCTGTAGATAGGACAAAACTAGTGTTTGGTTAGTGATTCGAGAAAATTTTGGTGGGAACTGGCTTACCCAAATGCTAATCTTTATCCAAACAAACCCTTTCTGCTCAACCTTTTTTTTTTTTTTTTTTAAAAAAAATAAAAAATAAAAAATTGGGCAATTGTATGCTTCACCTTGTTAACGTTACTTCTTAAATTTTCTTATTCGTATATTTTGAATGGATATATTAAACCTATTACAGCAAAGCCGTAACCTGCTTGGCTTCTAGTGTTGATGGATTTCTTTTGATTTCTGGATCGGAGGATGGCATGATTAGAGTGTGGGATACCAGAACTCGAAATCTTATTCGCATCTTTAGACATGCAAAAGGTACTCCCAAATCAATCTAGTGATGCTTGTTCGGCTAATAATCTTCTACTCAGTCTGGCTTGAGAGGCCATTTATCTATAATAAGTTAATATTAAGTACCATATTGCTTAAGGTCCACTTACCTTTTATTTTGTTGATGTCAATGTAATTCCCGAAATCAGTTGGTCACCCAGGAAAAATGTCTGATTATGGCTGATGGTTGTGGTATTGTATCTTCTCATTTTCATTGCAAATGTGTGAAGTGTTTGGTCAATGCAACTTGCTTATGCTTTAGCTCCAGCATGATATCTGCAAAATGATTTGTACTACAGATTATATCATGTTACTTAGAGTTCTGCTGAAAATTTAGTTGCTCCAGCATGAACATGATATATAGCCCATGTATTGGAAAAGTGAACTCACGTTGAGTTTAGTAGAGTGTATTGCTATGTAAGTTGGGTGATTGAGTGAGAACCTGAATGGTCATGAGGGACCCGAGTTCTATCATTTTATTACCTTATCTCAAACCTACAATTGTTGGATTTTTCTTGGCCTTTGTCATTTCCCAGGTCCAGTTAGTAGTGTTCTTGTAACAAGACAGGCCCAGTCAACATTAAGAAGGCATAATCTGCCATTGCCACCACTAGAGAAGTTTGCCAACTCACCAGATGAAAACACATACGTTAAAGTATTTATTGGTCCCCAGACCATTTCGAACCAAATCATAGACTCTTCATACATCGGCATTCAAACAATGGAGGCTCAGATAAAAGAACTACAGGTGATATTTTCTTGTAAAGTATAGTTAGTTTGTGTGTACAGTTCATTACCTTTACATTTTTTTTATGGCGTTATATCATATGAACTTAGAGTGTATGTCCAATGCATATGGTTTAGTTCTGAACAGCCAATGATCTCAAAATCTTCCCCCTTAGTTCTGAACAGATTTGAGTTTTCATACCCACTGTTTTTATTTTTCTTCACGCTGATTATTTTTATTGTGATTTTATGCTAGGTGAGGTATATTAGGTGGGTCCAGTTTCCTATATTGATTTTTGTGCTATTCTGGTTTCTTCTGGATCTTTTCAGTTAATTGAATAAAGGAACACAAGATTTAAAAGTTTAAATTGTTTAAAGGATAGGGATTTATTCATGTCATAGCTTTAAAATGCGACGGCATTGTTGGGTTCGGCGAAGAACGTCGGTTATTGTTCTCTATTCGATTTCTAAGAAATTAATCCTAGATAAAGATCTTACTTGACGTTCCCTGTATCTATTCAGCTTGATAGTATGGCTAAAAGTGAATAAGTGATCTTTAATTTTGTCATGGTGCATGCTTTTGTCAGCATTTTTACAAGTCAACATAAGAATTTCTGATTTTCTTGTTTTAAATTATCCCCAGAAACAAGGTTCGATGGCAGCTGCTGAAATGGACGTGCAAAAATTGAAGAGTGAACAGCAAAGGTCGCTACAAGCAATCCAGCAATGGAAGAACATGTACAAGAATCTGCATCAATTCTGTGTCTCTGAGCTTTTGGATGGCTGTAATACTGAAAGCGCCAATGGGCAAAATTGACGAGGTAACGTTATGAGGCTTTTAGTGTAGTCTCTGATGTTTCTACCTAACGTCAGATATTAGTAAGCCTCCAAGGCTCCAACGTCCTGCTTGCATGCCTGACCTTAAATTCTCGTTAGCGCAATAGTGCTATGAATTTGTTGTACAAAAGTATACACCTCTCACCCCAGAGAAAATTACTTATCTTGGGTTGAAGTTGTTGTAAAACGGCCCTATCAATAAGCTACATTTTGTGAATCCTCAAATCGTAATGAACCTTAGAGTTAGTTACAACATGCAGATTCTTACTACACAAAACATTGGATGTACGAGATACGTATCCCATGAACTTCCCGGATGTTATTCCATTTGTTATTTTGAAATCTTTTGTCGGAGCTGTTATTTCTTTTAGTTTTTTATTGTTAGATGTGGAACTGTAAGATCTAGCTACCTAGCTGATTTATTGCCAGTTTGCACGTTTTTGTTTGATGCAGTGATGCTACCTATGATTTTTTTACTCCAGTGGTGAATTTATCAACCTTTTAAGCTGAATATTCATTTGTGGCATAGTGATGATCATTACATCGTAAGTTGCGGTTCACTGTAATATTCACGGTCATGGGTGCTGTTCATTACTTTCAGCTGAATAGCATTGGTCTTTGCAAGATGTTTATTATTTTTCAACTGAATGTTCATTGCTTTTGTCCGTTACCTTTTCACATGATATACGTTAGTTTTCTACTAAATTTTTACTGGTTACTGAAGATTCGTTACTTCTTAGCTACATTTTCATTTGTGTGCTAGTGAAATTTGAATAAAGTATCCGCCCTCTGCACTTCAGATTTTCCTAATAATTTTCTCCAAATTCGTGCGCAGGACTGCACCCATTTCCGAATGCAGTTTACATCCGGTTGCTGGGAATATGTAACAAACAGTAGTTCGTCATTCTGCTTAAAAAATGCTAAACATGTGTGCCACAGACATCTGTAGGTTACATTTTGGTTAGTTTATATACTGAAGAAGGAACAGGCTATCTTAGTGCAACATGGATCCTACTTTGACTCGAAAGCACTTTCATATAGGTTTGAACTTTTGCTTCTTTATGTACCTGACTGTCACTCAGTACCAATTTTTGGTTGTGATATTAGGTGGTCAGCACTTTTGCAGTGATGTGCTTGAATATTGGTCCCACAGTATTTAACGATTTATTTCCAGGAACAAACTTGGCTTGTAAGGACATGCAATTCGGCGATGGAGAACAAATGAAATATGTTTTTGATACAGACATTGTGTGGTTTTGATACTTAATGTGTTTTTCCTTGTGAACATTAGTGTACGAATATGTTTTCATCAGCACCTTTAGGTTACGGCTATCTAGTCACTCGTCAAATTTATTGCATGTCAGCTGCAAACTTGGCATAATTTTTTGGTATGCAACCAGAAAAAGATTAAAGGAAAGAGAATGAAATCAGGGGTCTAAACCTGGTTTGGTGCTCACTAGGCAGATTGAGGTTCAGTACATAATATCCCATATTCTTATTTTCGCTTATTCAGAATACATTAAATCCTTTCGAACACATCCACAACTCCGCTTCATTGACACATGGGAAATCCTTTTCCTATTAACTGTTAAAGCCAGTCATTCATACAACCGCAATACAAATCACCGTCAAACCAACAATCTACTCAATAACTTCAGTATGAATTAAAATTTGAAAAAACAGATTGCATTAACTTAAAATATATGAGTTTTTAAATATTTACAATAAAGCCTACTTACATTATACTTGGGCATTAAAAGTAATTCAAAATAACGTGAATAACAACAAGACGCTATTCTTATAAAGTAGTAGCACAAACCGCTAGAGATAAATCTTAATTTTTTGTTTCACTTTACACGAGAGATGGCCAATCGAAGCACTTTGGCAACTATTATACTATTTTGTGCTCTTTATTTAATTATTTTCTTTTTGCCAAGGATTGGGGTTGCTCTCAATTAATTATTACGGATAGCATGTACAATCTGTAGAACAATATTTATATATATATATATATATATATATATCTGAACACCTCAAATTTGGAACCAGTTATATAAACTCACAGACGGATTCAAGCATGGCAACAATCTATTGGTTCCAAAATCGGCCTTGCTGAGCCTATCATCATTAGCCCTCCATGCGATTGTAATGTTAGAACTTAGAACACATTTGTTAGCAAAAGTACTCTTCAGTACCTAATCCTTGTGTTTTCACAAACTAATCTCCTCTCTCAACTCCATACCAAAAACAACAATCGACCAATTGGTTCAGCTTCCTCTTTCAGTGTCAGATATATAATCTAATCTATCCCGCCAGAGATTTCTGCCGGTACCCATGCTTTAACCGGTCAAGTAATTTTTCCTTGGTTTTTCTCTTCTTATCCATTTTCAGCCTATACCTTTCTTCCCTTTCCCTCTCATACACACCTTGCCAGTAAACTTCCCCTGTTGATGGCCACAACCATGTACTGTACGGATAGTCACTGTCATCTGCAGCTTCTGCAAGGTCCTCATCCATACTTTTCAGTAATGTTATGTTGAAATATTTCGCCCACATAAACCCTTTACGCTGTTCAATAGGGTGTTGTTCTTTCAACACACCTGAATGAGGATCAATGTAAACCATCTTCCGTGCACTATGATATGCCCATACATTCACCAACACTTCAGAAAGCCGGCAGTAGCAGCTTTTTTTCTGTACAAAGGAACAGTTGAACATTAAGGAGAACACTATTTCGTTGTAAAAAACTATTGAAGAGTCGATTATATGCATTTAAGGTCTATGAGGATGCTTAGATACAAGTTATCTCACAAAAAATCCAATCATTTTTAACCAATCAATTTTTTTAACTCAAATTTAACTCAACTTTAACCCAACTCCAAATCCTCCATATTATCAATATAATTAAATAATATCAATCAATCATTGTTACACATTACATCAACTTCACATAACATCACTTCAAATCCTCCCTTTCCTACTTTTACATCAAATCAACTTTTATTATTTATTTAAATATTATTTTAATACAAACTCAAACTCCCACTAATAAACAACTATACCACATTTTTCAAATTAACCAAAAAAAAATAAAAAAATCTTATATCTAAGCTCACCTCTGGTGCTGAAAAGCCTAGCAAACAATCAGGCAGCTCAACTGAGTTGACATGTAGACTGTGAATAGAATCCACAAACATCCTGGGGAGGTCATGGATTAAGTAGTTATTAAAGCCTAATTTTATGGGTTTCACTAACTTCAAACTGTGGGTTATATTGCACGAATTCAAGTACCTGGCAAACATTATGAACTCGAGAAAGGATGGGGTTGGCATCACCCAGCTGTGCAGTGCCGACCAGTGGCCACCACCTTCAGGCATGGGAGGAAGAGCTTCTACAGTCGATGGTAACCCATACATTCTCCGGAAAGCATCTTCAAATGATGTTCTATAGATTTGAAAATGAAAGAGGAACGGGGACCATTATTTTTTGATTTTGTAGCTAAGTAAGAATCCAATAGTTACGATAAAGAAACACTGATACCATCCGAATCGGAAAAGAGAACTTTAGTTGATAAGTTACTCTGAAGTAATCAATTAATTTATGTCTGAATGAAACAGAGGCAAGTCACACTGACAAGCATCAAGACATATTCAACACTTTCAAATTAATAAAGATCTCTTATAATTTTCTTGGTGAATGAAAAGTGATAAATTCAGTATTTCATTGAAATTATTGATGACCCACGTCAAACTTTGAGTGTTGAGTTGATAACAACAGGATAAAATATCTAATTGAAAGTTGTTTTTCTGGTAAAAACTCACCGGCACCTTCCAGCATTCATAATGTCACAGGTGGACCAAAAGGTAAGCTGATCATTATTTCCGATAATGCCCCCATCCGTGTCGAGGCATGCCCAGAAATATATCACATCTCCTTTGGTGTTTTCTTGTATTGTTTTCTCTAGAACCTCTTCTGCTTTTTTGGATAACGAAACCTGACATGATCATGCAATTCAAGCAAAATATGCATGCAGACAACTCAGAAGGTAGCGAGAATACATGAGGTCTCAATTTTCTATATTAACTCCTAACATAACTGGAAACAGATTAAGGTGCAAAATATTGCCCATATGGATACCTTCCTTCCAGCAGCACGCCATGATTGAAAACCTATCCAGGGCCGCTTGTGAATGTCATCAATTCCATTAGCAATTGAAAACATTCCTCCAATCTCACAGAGGATGTCACGGTAATATGTATCATTCAAGATGGGAAGCCGACTAACTGCATCGACATCATCTGAACTCAATCTTCGGGATCTAGTAAACTGACACAGGAAGCAAGAAGAAAAACACTAATTGAAATGACAACTAGTGCATAAAACAAGTAATTAAAAAAATGATTGGCCAACTCGCATCAGGTCTACGATAATGGAAGTGGAAAATGTAGACAACAAAAATTAGAGAGCAATTACAGCTGCATCCTTGTTTCTTTCATTAAAAGAAAAAATGAGAGAGAGAACGAGCCATAGACCAATCAGAATGCAACAACATAGTAGTGAAAAACTTACAAGACTTAATCCACGGTATAGTGAACCGTGGTGCAGAAATGGCCAACCCCCTGCACCACTGTAAATCTCATAAATGCACACTGGCTGGCCAGTTCTTTCTAGCTCACCTTCGTCTCTCTCGTTAGATTCAAACCTTAGTTTTTCTGATTTTCGTGCATTACGATAAACCTCATCCCAATCACCAATGTCTTTCTCCATTCTTTCTTCAATCTACAGAGAGTAACATGATGCTTCAGATAAATGAGCACCACAAAGGGATGGGGGAAGGGACATGTGGTGGAAATATCATTAATCCGTCAGAAAATTACCATACCTCCTCTCTTTCTAGTCTTTCAACTTCCTCAGAGCTTTCTATTTCGGTCAAGATATCCCAGTCCGACATTGTTGGGTTATTCTCTTCCAGATTTTCAGATTGATCCTTAGTTACATTTTTCAGTGTAACGTAATTTTCCATGTCTTCCTCAAGGTCATAAACAATACTTGAATTCATCCCAAAAGAATCATCTAGGTAATTATTTTGGTAGCTACCAGATATTCTATCAAGTTCCCTCGTGAAGGAACTCCATTCCCATACACTATTGTTCAGCTGAGAAGCACGACTTGGTAGCAGAACATCTGACGGGAAATCAATGACGTATTCCAGTAGATTTGCATAAGCAATGATGCATTCATTTGCAAACATGTTCTTTGCACGCAGCCTTCCAGAGGATCCAACCGAATTTGCAAATCTAGATAAATTTCCCTCGGATATCAGACGTGAGAAAGCGTTTTGCAAAGCTTCAGGATTATTTTTGGGAAAAATTACACCATCAACTCCATCAACAACCTAGCAAATTGTAAATTTAAGTAAAGAAAAAGCTTTTGCTTCCAGGTCCCGGGATATAACTAAAAGCTCAATTGAGAAGGAAATATGAATGACATACATATTTTTGTATGACAGGATCATCAGGAACAACTACGGGAATTCCAAATGCCATGGCTCTTGCCAATAAGGTAGGAAATCCCTGCACATCTTGGGAAGGGGCATAAAGAATAATGTCGGCCATCATTATTATACCATTCACACCACGATCGAGGCCATAATGCTTCAATGATCCTTGATTTAGTCTTAGACGGGCTGCAACATCCTACATGATATACAGTTGATGGTCAATAGATGATATACATCACTCAGAAACAGCTGATATAAACAGTTATAAATTCAAATAGAACTCCTAATACTGACATCATGGTACTTCAAATTCCATTTCTATTATTTTTGCTAGAAAACGACTACAGATCAACTAAATACATACATAAACTATGAAAAGAGCAACCAAATAGGAAAGTCAAAAAAACTGATGCTAGAACTGTAATAACACCCAAACATGTTGCCAACAGGTAAGCATGACTGTAACATTAGTTGATAATACTGTGAACAACAATCAAAAAATAAAAGTTCAAATTGGACAAATGCTTTAAAACAATATACTTCTCAATTCAATTTGTAAATAACATACCTGTAAAGCTTCACTGTAGTCCTTGCTGGAATTTCCACAAAGAAAAATAAACTTTGAAGTGAATGGAACATCATTTCGTCCAGCATACTTGTGGAGCAAAAGATCAAGATCATGCATTGCTACAGCATAATTCCAATCTAGCTCATAGAAGAAAAATGAACTCCCAAGAATCACTACCAGAAAATCATCGTCATTGAAACCATTTTTTTTCCTCAACTCAGACTTCGAATGGGTCTTTCTAAAGCTTTCAGCAGCCCAAAAATCTATTGGTGATCCAGGAATAACATAGAAGTTTCCAGTGTCAAATGTGCTGTATAAAATCTGATTCAATGGAAGGTGCATTAAATAAATAACACAATGCCTAGCACAACCATAAAAACTCACATTTAAGAATAAAAGATAC